CGGGCCTACACTTGATGTCGTAATCATTAGCTGCCAATACCAGTGCCCATCTAAAGCATTACTGCAGATGTCTTAGATATGGGCTTATCGAGGTTATATATGGAATGTAAAGCTTGATGATCTGTAACGATTGTAACCTTCAAACCGAAAAGTTACTTATGTCGTTATCAGAACAAGAGTCAGCGAATAAGCTCGTTTTCGGTGGATCTTATCAGGCTGGTACACTACAACCGATCCGCTTCGTATCAGTTGTGGTGTACCAGCCTGGGATCTTTGCTCACTTATGTAGTCGTTTAACAGCCCAGTATACCGCCATACCTTCTTTCTGTTTGAGAATAATCCCTTTCTGCTCTGTTGTAAACCCATGCTATGAATATGGCAAGAGAACCACCCTGTTCTAACACTGCTCCTATGCCAACTTCATTTGTAACCGTGTTCGAAGAGATTGGGGAAAACGGTCTAAGAACTGGGCGTTCTGCAATTTTATCGATTAGAGCACGCAGGACGCGCTCTTGTTGAGAACTCCAACGCCATTTACCAGCGATTTGTAAATCGTATAAAAGTTGGGTCAGAGTCGCAAAGTTTGGTACAAATTTGGAGTAGTTTTGCATCAGTCCTATACTGAATCCTAACTCCGCAACAATTCTAGGCGAAATACACTGCATTAAGGGAGCCAGTTGGTCGTTGTCAGGTCTATAACCATTGCCTGAAACACGAACTCCAAGAAACCTCAATTCATTAACACCAAAAAAGCATTTCTCAGGTCTGGTCAGCACATTCGTCTGCTTTAGCCATTTACATAATGCCACAAGTCGTCGGTCATGTTCCTCTTTATTGGTTGCAATACGTATCACATCATCCTGGTAAACACGAACGCTATCGAGAGCACGAATGACTTCTTCGGTGGCTAATTGAAAAATGCCGGAAGACACATGTAGTCCGAATCGAAGATACTTGCACTGCTACAGTCCCCGTGGAGCGTTAATAGTCATGAGTCTGCAAATACTTGGCTAGTGAGATTTTCAGGTAAGCATTGTCCAGGTCGATCATTGTAAAAAAACGAGTTACCACCCAAGGACTTGAAAAATCTTCAGGCTCCTCAGTCGTTGCACTACATCGGCGCAGTCTGGGGTTTAGAGTCGGTTTAAATTCCCCACAAATTCTGGGTGTATTACCCTCTTTCTTCATGGCAACACAATTATGGGTGTAACCCACGTGGAAGATTGTACCGGCTCCAGTATACCATCCTTAATCATCTCGATGTTCTGTCGGACCGCATCTGGAATGCCATAAGGAACAATTCTACGTTGCAGGAAGATTGGATCACCATCCCTCTCTAATTTCGCTTCTTGTACCTTCATACCTCCTCTGCACCTTCCACGCTCCACTACTAGGCGTCCTATTTCAGAATCGAACCGGTTTGCTACCGGTTCGGATGGTGCAAGGCAATTCTGTTCGACCAGGGCAGTGTCGTGTTTCAGAGTGAGCGGACGTTTGCATTCGCTTACGAGTGCCTTCAGTGTCCGGCCGGGATCCTGATCCAGCTTAGTCAATAACCGCGTGCTGATCTCAACATCACGGAGGGACTGTAGAGCGCTGACGAAATGAGACACCTAAACTGATCACTTCTTAAAGACCGTAGCTTGAAACGCTCACACTCGCACTTAATCATATTTGCTAGGGTCCCGAAATCGTCTGTTCCCCGTTTGACAAATTTTAGGCATTGATAGCGGATACTGAACAAAGATACTGACTGACCAACAATTTCATTGAGCTGCGACACTGCTTCATCGAATCACAGATCCTTCGGCTGTTTTGGAAAAATGTGGTCCATGAACCTTGAATGTTCACTTGTGCCGAACTTGCGGAATTGTAATCGCACTTTCCGGGGATCGTATTAACGATTGAAATCCGTCTGGAATATGTCTTCCCAGCGCTTGCATCGCGCTTCGATTGTGCATTCAGAATTCGCGTCATAATTGAATTCACGTAATCGGCCTACGTGTTCCGTGCCGCTGCTCCTGGGGATTGTAGACCTCGACATTGCGTCAAATTTTCAAACACTTTCATTTGAGCCTCCATTTGAGGTGGCTGTTAGAGAAGCGGCTTTTAAAGTTGTTCAGCAAAAAACCTTATCACATTCCCATTCTTCTCCGTCGCCAATTCTTATAATATTCCCACTTATCGTGATTCCGAAATATGCACTTCATTGCTCCACAAGGCCCAACCGCAGGGAAAATCAGAACACAAATGACCTTGACAACATGACGCGTTAAGCGCCGCTAAAACACACTGTACAACTAAAGCCGACCTTGGTTGTATTTATAAGTCGCTTACTAACGTTCAACTTCCGAACTATTAAACTCAACTTTCAATTTAATCATTCCATGCCGACTCGGCCAATCTTCAGGAGGTTGGAACATTCCAGAAAGTTTGAACTTGTTGCAGTGGTCAGTAACAACCGGTTACTCACTGAAATAATGGCTTTTCCGGTAAATTCCTATCTTCTCCCGGACATTTCCCACAGATACAGATGGCTCATGTGGTCGATGTTCTGTATACAGGGAGCACCTGCCCAGATTTTCATTGTTCCAGTACCCAGCTGCATTGTTTTCCTTTATTTGACCCAGTTAAATGCCCATCTCCGATTTCCTACTCCGTGATTTGCATCTGTATTTGGCAAAGCAAAAGGATTCCTTCACTTAAACTTCAGATGTTACTAACAGATGAGCCGAATACCGAGTAGTCCAAGCTGCACAGCTGAAAAAAGCTTTTCAGACCCTATTGTTTGTTTAACTCGTAGCATCTTGGTAGTGTATGTATCTATGGGGCGTTGTTTATTTTCCTCGTTCGCAACATCTAAACTACGTCAGTGAATCTCAAGATTAATCAGGACGTTGATGCGATGCCACAATTTATCTAAGACCTGTGTTGTTTGGAGCAATCTAGTAGCGTTCCAGTTTATCAGAAGCGCTGGCGGTTACACACTGGGTGGGGATGATGCAATGTCTTCCGCACCTACGTAGGTACACTTCTAAACTAACACTACCGGTGGAGCTCTCGCGCGGAAGCTAAGTCATTTCCGAAAACAACTGTCTCATCCGCTTGCGATATGTGTGCAATTCGGTTATTTTTCAAGTTTCTGGTTCCAGTATGGGTAAACAACGTGTTATCATTCATAGCCATTTTGACCACAATGTTACTGAGTAATAAAACGCCAAAATCACACATACGGTCGTACACTGTTACCCAGCAATGGCGCTTCTCCCCATGGAAACTCCTCGTCATCATCATCAGTAACAGAATCACATCATTTTTTCTCTACTTCACTATCCATATAACCGTATGGATCCTACTAATGTGGATTAGTAATGTAAGAGGGGAGTTGAGATCTCGCATACAGCCTAATGTTATTCTAAACGGACGTTCAGGATCACCATAATTTATTAGCTCACATACCGTTGAATATTACGCCAGGTAGAGGTCGCAACTATGAGCTATCTGGTTGTTTTTACAACCCCTCGTTCTAATCAACCTTATCTAATGGATGACTCGGTAACAGACACATTTTGACCAGGTAGTGAAGCTGGAAGACAATGGAAAACGCACCAGTAGTTTTGGATGCGAATCATGTACGATGTCACCAGCCAATGCGTGGACCCCATTCCAAGAGGTGAATCAAACCAACAGCCTGCATTCTATGGATCAACGACACCAGGTCATTAACTCCCCTTTTGAACCTTACATTATCTAACAGATTAATTGACGCATAGCTACTCTCGGTTTTCTGGAAGATACTATGGGGATGCACACCACTGACGAGCCCCAATAGGACGAAACGGGTCTGGTGCTTTTCCGGACTAGGGCGTGCTATGTAGCTTGTAAGCAGCTGGGACGAAAACATTACAATTAAAATATCCTCCTACTCATTAGTACTATGAGTCTTGTCAAGAAATTGCTTTATGCACCCAGAACGGGTGAATATTCAGTAGCACACACCCGAACTAATTCAACTTCTCAGTCGTAAACGTTGACTTAACAAACAGAGTTGATTTTTGCGAAAACGCTGACGCCACCCGAGGCGTCGAGGGCTCCCGGAGCAACAGTAATCCATGACCTGCATACGCCTGAAATTTTTAGATTGAAGCGGTTACTTTTAGCTTTCGTAGAGAACAACCTTCACTCTGGTGTTGTATACCTTAGCCTGTAAGATTATGTGACAAGAGTGCCATGGATATTACAGATTCTGTGGTGATAGTTTTCATCTTTGCCAAGTGTGAACCAAGTTTTGTGACCACACACAAATCATCGCTACTGCAGCTGTCAAAGTAGTCAGGATTCCTGAGAGTCTTCACGCTGCTGTCATGATCACGATGGAAGACCATGGAAACGAAAGCGATTTCATGTGCGCGCTACATAGCTTAGCACTTGTTCGAGCAGGACCGTTAGCTGAGCCTAGACTGGCTTTCGAGTCTATCTGCTTCATCAATTACGATCCCGGTGATCGAAGGGACCAAGATTCATTTCAATGTGAATCGCTTTCCATACTGAGATTGCGCGTCCTAATCCATTAACATAACTCATGTCTAAAATGATCCTCCAACCACTCATTAACCGCTTTGGCAACGTTTCTCGCAGCGAATTAGTGGCTTATGGGTAAAAGATCCGGCTGTCATACCAAAAGCCACGGATTCGAATGCCTGATGAGATCAAACAAATTCGAAACCGGTCGTGGGTTGCAGTGTTTTCGGGCGGACAGCACCCAATATCCATCTACTACTATGGTCCACTATCTGTGCATTCATCTTCCGTCCAGTTCCTTTCCTAAAGCAGCTACTCACCAAGATTCAACTGCCGGGGTGGAATTATACCTTGTCTGCACTTATCTATGTATCAAGAGGATGAATCAGCTGTTGCAGGACGCTTGAATGATGGACAGTCAGCCGCAATAACCAATACCTCATTGATTCTAGCTTGCTAACATTTGATTCCTTTTGGTAATGGAAGCAATCACAAAAATCTCTAACCTGTTCGCATTACTTTTAGGTGTACTGTCGAACACAGCAGTCAGGTGAGCCAAGACGGTTTATTATTATCGTTTTGCAACCATAGTGAGAGATACTCTGGTCCGTACACCTCGTTTCGTTATGACAGCACGTTCACATCGACCATCGATGGCGGGAGTCTTGACGTTGCGATCCTGCATGGCTCGGCAGGTAGGCTGAATTTCTCCTCAAACTAACCTGTCCGACATGATCTTTGCTCGCCTGTTAACCACCCATCTCTTCGTGCTGCCTTTTCCCGAACTCTGTTTGATTAAATGTCACTATGGTTGGATGCCGTTACTGCAAAGAAGCCTAAGGACGAAGGACTATGTCGCACTAGTTCATACTGTATTCTTGGTTGAGGTACCTGGATGAGAGACGTGTTAGTTAAAAATTACTAAGACCATTGCTCATCCAGTGGCATGCGCTTGCGTTCAGCCTCTTCTAGCTGTCTTATTCCCTATGTCTTGGTTTTCACTCTTTTACGATCCTCTGCGTCGTGATATCTAGATGGGGTTTTTCTCTGTCTTTCACCGTGTTCTGTTCTTTCCCTCTTATGGGCATGAATCAGGGCCACTGGATCGATGTCACTTGTGTGCTCTGATCATGACGTTCCTACAACACATTATTCGTGTTTACACTCCGACCACCCTACTTTACCAGTCTGCTTTTTGGTGATGGTTTCCGGTGACTTATTCATCTCACATACCCGACCATCACATCATACTGACCTACGGATAATTTCGCCCAACTGTTCTCCAATGTTGTATTTTTCTTTGGAGCTGATCGCATGCATAATTTCACTGTTTTTGCTTTGTGGACTACAGCGTATGTACCTTGATTCTAACCTGCACCGTTTTGCTTGTCAATCGATACTACACATGTCTGAGTATCATTTGAACCTACATTGACCCATGGCTTCCTTCTCCAAGCCTCCACGTTTCGGCCTTCTCTGTCTTCGGAAGACAAGTCTGTTGTTCCACCTCCCTCGTTCTCTTCACATTTTCGATCGCGATGTACCATCGTGGATTCCGCTGCCTCCTTATGTTCGCAACCAAACGGTCACCCTACCCGCTGCTCCCCTATCACACTCCGTGGAATCTATAGCACAGTTACAATATGCTGGCTCTGTGGTCCGTAGCCTTTTTGAGGAATTAGAATCGTTCATCCGGCCCGGTTTATCTACTCAAGACTTGGATGACTTCCTTTTCGATAGTTGCATATCGAAAAAAGTATACCCCTCACCACTCGGCTACCGTGGCTTTCCGAAGTAAGTTGACCGGGGGAATTTTAGACATATACCTTACGTCATCAGGTAATCATGCGCCGTGCGTCAGCTCTGCTGTCTTTCTTGTAATGTCTCTGAGCGGAACACCTCAATTTAACGGCACTTTGATCCTTGTGCTGCATGTGCAAGGATCCCATCACTGTTCGACTGGATCCTGACGCGGAGCTGTCATGTGGCTCTTCCCATGTTCCTTTAAAACTTATTGGAGTAGTTCAGGAGTTTTGCATGTAGGTCTCCGGACACCGATTAAAACGAGTGTAGTTATAAGTGATCTTGTCGCTTCTACAGCCCACGTATAACCCCTGTAGCTGCGTTGTAGTGAAACTTTGGTATACACTTCTGCTACAATACCGGTACTTTTTCTCGTTCATATCCCTCATAATAGACAGGTCGATGGCTAGGATTCATCCTCAGTCTTAACATCCCCCTGCGGCAGTTTGAGATTTGGTTAGTAACAGTCGATTAGCTCAGTACAGCAACAACACATATCGTCTCTGCTGATGTGAGGGTACATTTGTTGTTTACTGGTACAACACCGCTCACCCCCAAAAAACAGGTAAACGCCAACCGGTGAGACACCGGCTCATAAAAAGCCTTCTCAACTTCACCATCGCTCCACGTCTGTCCAAGCCATACATGCATTGGTCTGCCTCCCTCCCTAAAATTTCCAGTGACCGTCACCCAACAGCACCGCCCTGCAATGTCGTATCACGCTCTACAGCATTTCACACAAGGCTGAATAAAAGGTCCAAATTGTTGCAAAACCCTGTGCGATTCGCCAGCTGCTCAGAGCCAATCCTCTGACGTTAAGTGTGTTCTCATTGGCCGGATGCCAAGATTCGGTGCGTTAGTCTGGGGGAGGTGAGCACGCTGCTCGTTGACTGAGTGAGACTTGTGAATGAATCTTAGAGGCATGCAGTTCGGCGGTGCAACGGGCTTGTATGCGCCCCCCTCACGTCCGAAACGGTGGATCACAATTGGTCTGAGAGCAATGAACAGCTGAAACATAAGCGCACGACCGAAACCATGTCTATGATACTAGCGCCGTCGGCATGCATTCTCGCGTTCGACAGAGTATCTCATCAGACATTCGTGACCGAGTTTTGGGCGCGTTCGCCAACGGTGATGACTGGCAGCAGGTGGCAACTGTGAACAACGTCAAATATCAAACAGCCTACTCCTGGGTTCGCCGTTCTCTTGATCAGGAGCCGAGTACTACGCAGGCGCGCGGTCGTAAGCGGGTTTCGTCGGAGGAAGACGTAGATGACATCCTGGATTGGATCGCAAGGGACTCAACTCTTACGCCACGGGAAATGCGAGTACGAGTAGAAATGGACAAGGACATTTCGAAGTCAACCATCGCACGGCATCTAGATGGTCGACTGATAACTATGAAGAACATCTATCAGGTTCCCGAGGGAATGAACAATGAGCGAACCAAAGGGATACGCAGGAAATTCGTTCAGCAGTTTCTCCAACTTGAGAGCGATGGCAAGTTTTTCACTTAGATTGACGAAGCGAACTTCAACCTTTACTGCAAACGTACTCGTGGTCGGGCGCCCAGAGGAGTGAGGGCCTGTTGCAAAGTTGCCAACAATATAGGCCTCTATTTGCATTTGATCGGTGCACTCACAATGGAAGGGAAAGTGTCGATGATCACGCGGAGAGGCTCATTCACAGGTCCCCTATCTCTCGAATGGCTGCGAAGCTACTTAGACAACCTGAAACGGGAGATGAAGCTCCGACAGGTTGTCGTGATTTGTGATAATGCACCATATCACACACGCCTGGAAGAACTGTCGTCAGTAGATGGATACGAGGGAGTAACCATACTGAGGTTGAGCCCATACTCTCCGCTTCTCAATCCGATCGAGAATGTTTGGCAGGTGGTGAAGGCCAGAGTGAAAAATGAGATGAGAGTGCACTACGCGGAACTTCTGGCCGGAGATCCCCAGAAACTCATGACGCAGATGGAATGGAGGCTGCAGTTCCTTGAAGGCATCGCCGGAACAGCCACCGAGGACATTAGCGTTGTGGGATGTCGTAATGCTATTCGACATATGCGTGTACACTTTTTTAATTGTCTAGAAAAAATGACATGTTTTGATCGCGTTGCTGGCCTATCTTTTACGTATCTGGTTGTATAGCATGTCACTGGCAGCGCGTAGGGACGTGTGAGTATTCACAGTGTTTTCAAAATATGTTTGCACATACGTAAGTTTGTGTGTTCGTACGGGGGTTGAAACGATATCTGATGTCTAGCGCAAGGGAGTGACACGGGACGGTTTCCAGTGAGCCATGCTCGAGTGATATGTTCAACTTATGGTCCTTTTCGTGCCAGTATTCGCTGCGCCATACTCTTTCATGCTCAGCCTGAGATAATGTAGATACAGTTTTTTTTTGTTCGGAAAACTAGCATGTTTGGAAAGCGCTTTGTAGGACCACGTGAGCATGCCGGGTGAAGCAACCGTCAGATATATCACAGTGTGGGATGTCAGCATCCACTGCCAGACAAGATGTCGTCATGGTAGCTGAACGAATAAATCGCGTGTCTAATGGAAACCGTCTCTGTGCGATGTTTGTCCGCTGTATTTGAGTGCACTGGCGCATAAATTTGTTACCCGATTGGAAGTTGGTCTGTCAAGTTCGGAACCCACATCAGCCGGTTCGGAAGCTGTACTTTAGATTTAAAAGCAACCATTCCTGCAGTAAGCCCAATTTAATTTGCTTGCCAGAAAGGCCCGAATAGCTGTCCAGTACGACTTGTATACTGTCTTGATCGTTGGGATGATCCCTCGTTTGACCCAATAGCGTGCGTGCACAAATGGGGGGTGCAGTTGGCGTGGATACAGTGGCGTGGCAACTACTTTTGCTGTCCATGGCGGACGTACAATTGCTGCCGCTCTCGCAGGTGTAAAGCCCGCAATTGAAATTGCCATTTAATATTTCGTTTCACATAACAACAATCACAGATTTAATTTTAGAGTGTTGTCATGAATGCAGCTATTTGCATTGTTAAAATACTCGTGTTCAAAATGTACAGGCACACTTCTCGCGCACTACTTGAAGACGCTGGCATCCGAGCTGAATAAGCGCTCATCGAACGCAGTTGAACATCACTGGTCGAAAATCCGGCAGATTTTGTTAGCAGCGGGTATGTCTTAATGTGGCAAATCAAATCGCCAACCTGGACATTGGGTCACTACGCAGTCTCAGGAACTTATAGATGCTTGCCAACGTGTTCCGACTGATAGCGAACACAAGAAGACTCGTAAAGATGTCAGGGCGAAATTGCTTACTAACCTGTAAAGAGACATGGAAGCCTAGTGGTCTGCACGCCTGGCTTGCAATCATAAGGTCAGCGGTTCGGATTTATTTTCCTGACCTGCTTTGTCATCCTGGATGTCTTTTCGGTGCTCACCCAGTGTCTGAAACCCCCGTCCTTTGAAAAAATTGACTATCGCGTTGACTAAGTGTTACACTGAACCAATACCGTAGACAGGATGATCAAGTATCACAATAACTGATCATCGCTTGAATCCTGGTGCCATTTGTGACAAATGTCATTTGAAAAGCACAATTAGAAGACGAAGCGTGGCAGATGCATGCATTTCGTATCGTCTCATCAGTGTCGATAACGATAACCGGTAATTTTATATAACAGTTTGTGGGTACAGACATACATACAAACAAAGGAGAGAAAAAAGGGGTGTCTTTGTTCTACAAACAGGGCAGCCTGAGGCTGACCGATAATTGTTTTTGAACACAAAGCACTGTCTTAATCCGATTGATGGCAATAGTCTTGGCAAACCGAAGGAGCCGGGAATTTGTGTGGCGAAGCAAGATCCTGAACGTCTTGTTGACCTCAGTTCTGTGACCCGATGTCAATAAGTGTCTGCCGATCGAAGATGCTGGCGGCCTGCGTACACATGTAGTCTGAGTTGGGCTTGCTTGCTGAATAAGTCCGCACTGAACCCATTTTGGTACATGCTCTTTAATTCGGGAACTCAGTGTTCTATTGGTTCTGCCTATGTAACTATCCCCGCAGTTACATACGAATTGATATACACAGTGAGAGTTGGCGCCAATAGGCTGAGTTTCCTTTAGTGGAGGCAACGGTAGGTTATGGGTTCGGTCGATGATTACAACTTCGGCAGCACAGAAAGTGCTCTTTGTGGCGGAAATCAGACGTCTTCTGGTCCTCAAAGAAGCAATGTCACCCTTAAAAGGCAGCTCCAAGAATACCTTTTTCTTAGGCACAGTAGGTACAGCAACTTTCATTTCACGAATTTCACTGTGCTTCCGGATAAACTTTCGAGGGAAGCAATTAGCAATTAACGTGTTGGTAATTAATTCTAGTTCATCGGCTAGACAATCGCTCGAACATATTCGTCTGGCGCGACTAAACAGGGTCCTCACAAGCGTTCGCTTGTGCCGCATTGGCGCAAAGCTGCTAGAATGCAGATATTGTCCCGACCACGTTGTTTTTCGATAGACAGACCGTTTTACCAGTCCGTCCTCCCTGCCGATGATGAGAACATCCAAATATGTAAGACAGTTCTGTTGTTCGACTTCACAGGAAAACCTCAAATTGGCATGCGCAGAGTTAAAACGCGTCACTAGCTGTGCGATTTGCATTTCTGTCGAACTGAACACCAAGATGTTCGCACGGCTACGGTTTGAAAACCCTAATTGTGAGAAATTTGTGGTTTCGCAAGCCATATTTCCTGAGCTCAGACAGATGGTAGTAATGACTTTACAATTTCCATTGTCTGTATCTGATGTTCTGTCAGTACCACGTTTAACAACGTAGAATCATTTCGACAAGCGGATACTTGCGCACCCAAGTCGTGTTGAGAGATATAGGTGCTGCACCTAATCCGGCTGCATGGCAGTATTTCACACTTACACGAGAGGCAATGACATTTGTCACAAATGGCACCAGGATTCAAGCGATGATCAGTTATTGTGATACTTGATCATCCTGTCTACGGTATTGGTTCAGTGTAACACTTAGTCAACGCGATAGTCAATTTTTTCAAAGGACGGGGGTTTCAGACACTGGGTGAGCACCGAAAAGACATCCAGGATGACAAAGCAGGTCAGGAAAATAAATCCGAACCGCTGACCTTATGATTGCAAGCCAGGCGTGCAGACCACTAGGCTTCCATGTCTCTTTACAGGTTAGTAAGCAATTTCGCCCTGAAATCTTTACGAGTCTTCTTGTGTTCGCTATCAGTCGGAACACGTTGGCAAGCATCTATAAGTTCCTGAGACTGCGTAGTGACCCAATGTCCAGGTTGGCGATTTGATTTGCCACATTAAGACATACCCGCTGCTAACAAAATCTGCCGGATTTTCGACCAGTGATGTTCAATTGCGTTCGATGAGCGCTTATTCAGCTCGGATGCCAGCGTCTTCAAGTAGTGCACGAGAAGTGTACCTGTACATTTTGAACACGAGTATTTTAACAATGCAAATAGCTGCATTCACGACAACAGTCTAAAATTAAATCTGTGATTGTTGTTATGTGAAACGAAATATTAAATGGCAATTTCAATTGCGGGCTTTACACCTGCGAGAGCGGCAGCAATTGTACGTCCGCCATGGACAGCAAAAGTAGTTGCCACGCCACTGTATCCACGCCAACTGCACCCCCCATTTGTGCACGCACGCTATTGGGTCAAACGAGGGATCATCCCAACGATCAAGACAGTATCCAAAGTCGTACTGGACAGCTATTCGGGCCTTTCTGGCACGCAAATTAAATTGGGCTTACTGTAGGAATGGTTGCTTTTAAATCTAAAGTACAGCTTCCGAACCGGCTGATGTGGGTTCCGAACTTGACAGACCAACTTCCAATCGGGTAACAAATTAACGTGCCAGTGCACTCAAATACAGCGGACAAACATCGCACAGAGACGGTTTCCATTAGACACGCGATTCATTCGTTCAGCTTCAATGACGACATCTTGTCCGGCAATGGATGCTGACATCCCACACTGTGATATATCTGACAGTTGCTTCACCCGGCAAGCTCACTTGGTCCTACAAAGCGCTTTCCAAACATCCTAGTTTTCCGAACAAAAAAAAACTGTATCTACATTATCTCAGGCTGAGCATGAAAGAGTATGGCGCAGCGAATACTAGCACGAAAAGGACCATAAGTTAAACATATCACCCGGGCATGGCTCACTGGAAGCCGGTCCCGTGTCACTCCCTTGCGCTAGACATCAGATATCGTTTCAACCCGCGTACGAACACACAAACTTACGTATGTGCAAACATATTTTGAAAACACGTGAATACTCACACGTCCCTACGCGCTGCCAGTGGCATGCTATACAACCAGATACGTAAAAAATAGGCCAGCAACGTGATCAAAACATGTCATTTTTTCTAGACAATTAAAAAAAGGTACACGCATATGTCGAATAGCATTACGACATCCCACAACGCTAATATCCTTGGTGGGTGTTCCGGCGATGCGTTCAAGAAACTGCAGCCTCCATTCCATCTGCGTCATGAGTTTCTGGGGATCTCCGGACAGAAGTTCCTCGTAATGCACTCACATTTCATTTTTCACTCTGGCCTTCACCACCTGCCAAACATTCTCGATCGGATTGAGGAGCGGAGAGTATGGGCTCAACCGCAGTATGGTTACTCCCTCGTATCCATCTACTGACGACAGTTCTTCCAGTCGTGTGTGACATGGTGCATTATCACAAACCACGACAACCTGCCGGAGCTTCATCTCCCGTTTCAGGTTGTCTAAATAGCTTCGCAGCCATTCGAGAGATAGGGGACCTGTGAATGAGCCTCTCCGCGTGATCATCAACACTTTCGCTTCCATTGTGAGGAAACTGATCAAATGCAGATTGAGCCCTTTACTGTTGGCAAATTTGCAACAGGCCCTCACTCCTCTAGGCGCCCGACCACGAGTAAGTTTGCAGTAAAGGTTGAAGTTCGCTTCGTCAAGTTAAATGAAGAACTTGCCATCGCTCTCAAGTTGGAGAAACTGCTGAACGAATTCCCTGCGTATCCCTTTGGTTCGCTCATTGTTCATTCCCTCGGGAACCTGATAGATGTTCTTCATAGTTATCAATCGATCATCTAGATGCCGTGCGATGGTTGACTTCGAAATGTCCTTGTCCATTTCTACTCGTACTCGCATTTCCCGTAGCGTCAGAGTTGAGTCCCTTGCGATCCAATCCAGGATGTCATCTACGTCTTCCTCCGACGAAATCCGCTTACGACCGCGCGCCTGCGTAGTACTCGGCTCCTGATCAAGAGAACGACGAATCCAGGAGTAGGCTGTTTGATATTTGACGTTGTTCACAGTTGCCACCAGCTGCCAGTCATCACCGTTGGCGAAGGCGCCCAAAACTCGGTCACGAATGTCTGATGAGATACTCTGTCGAACGCGAGAATGCATGCCGACGACGTTAGTATCATAGACATGGTTTCGGTCGTGCGCTTATGTTTCAGCTGTTCATTGC